CACGAAACGATGGATGTTGAGTCCGACGTAACCCGAGGACTGCCTGTACTTGAAACCTTTATAATTTTATTAACTAATATCATCCCAATAAAATTCAATAAAAATAAATAAAAAGTATGTATTTAAGAAACTAGGTAATCATTTAAGTAATTTTGAAGAATGTTTAATAGTGTAGTATAATTATTTTATAATATTAAATAAAACATAAAAACCAACACTGCACACATATAAATTTCCAATTTTGTAAATGTATGCTTGTGTAAAAAGACTGAAAGGGTATATGCAAAATTTAAAAGTGATTTACTTCAGGTGGTAAAAGCAAAGGATTTATTTTCTTATTTTTACTTTCCTGGATTTCCAAATTTTCTACAGTGAGCTACATTTGTTATAGATAGCAATAAAAACATTAAAAGGAGAATGATGATGATCACAATGTTGTGGAAGCTGGCAATATGTGCCAAGTATATAATACATTTATGCTTTGTGCTTTTTTCATTCTCACTTTGTTCCCACACCATCATTATCCTCCTTGTATTAGAGATGAATAAGTGGAAATTTAAGGCAGATATATAAATTTTTAGTTAAGAAACTTTGTAATTATATGGAGAGTAAAAGACAGAGCCTGAACTTAAAACCATAATCAGAAATATAATTTAAAAAACACTAAGGTTTTTAACTAGGCATATAAAATGAACATAATCTACACCAGTAGTCAGCAAACTGCGGCCCCTTGAGTGTGGCTCTTCCACAAAATACCACGTGCGGGCGCGATTGAAACTTTGTGGCCATACTTAAGGGGCCAAAGAGCCGCAATTTGCCGACCACTGACCTACACCATAAGTGTCATCTTTGGTTCCCCACATCCCTCTCTGAGCCGCAGTTTGCCGACCACTGACCTACACCATAAGTGTTATCTTTGGTTCCCCACATCCCTCTCTTCCTCCTCTGCTCCAGTGTTGAGCTTCTTACCATTTATTGGGCTCAATACTTTTGTGTGTCTATACTTTTGCAGGTAGCATTGTCTCTATCTATACACACGCTCTCTTCCACCTGGCTGACTTCTTTCTGATCCTCAAAACTCAGAAAGCTCTGTCTCTCATGTGATGTTTCCAGGTGTAATTATCTTCTCTGCCTTCCTATTCTTAATTTTTTTTTTATTAATCTGATATTATAATTACCTATTTACATCTCAATCTATAAACTCTTTCAGAGCATGACCTGTCTTAGTTATATTTATAGAGGAAGCTCAGTGTCCATCCTGATAAGCTGTGAATATGTGCTTTGGGATAACTAATTGAATGAGTGAATACATGAATTTGACAAAGTTCATTCTTCCCAGTGCTTCCATTTATCATTAAAGTTCTTACTTTTCCCCATACTGCTCTTCCTTTAGTCAGAATTCCACTTTCATTAGAAGTTCCATGTCAGGACAAATTGTAGTGTTTGGTGTTGGTGGAGAAGGATTGAGAAGGAGGAGGGAGGAGAAATGAAAGAGCCTGTTGGGATTTCCCATAGAACTGCTGGAAACTACTGGGGAAGAACAGATGGCACCTGGCTCAAGGGTGGAAGACATCACAGAACCTGCTGCCTCATGGCAGGCCCACAGGCTTCTTACCAGTTCCTCCAGAACTTTCACCGGAACATCCCTCTGCTAATTATTTGACTTACTGTCCCAGGAGCAGGGGCCCACCCTTCTAGGCCTTCTACACCCATAGAATTGTCCTAAAGAAATAGTGTATTCTGATATCCTTTGCCTCACGAATGTTCCACTGAGACAGGTCTTCCCTAAGTTAATTAGAGGGAAGTAAAAAATGGAGGAAATTTATATCCTGTTGAGGCTGCAGGATCTAGAAACTTCCTAACCAGAAAACTTTAGAGGACAGAGTTGGAAAATAACCTTGGTAATCTCAATCTTTTTGTGGTCTCAGCTCTCACTTATCTTATGACACAGAAAGAAGAAAACGAAGCCCAGGGGAGAAAGAAACTGAGGAGATCTTTCCAGTGTGGACACAGGAATAGAATTAGGTGTCCCACCAAACCCTGCTCAAACTTTGTTCAGTCTAGCAACTGAACCCAGAGAGGGACCCTTGGCTGATCTGGCCCACGGTAAGGAGCCTTACCTATGCCCAGTAGGGAGGTCTTCTTTGTTCAGCTCTGCCTAACACCCATGTTGCATGCATGTCCTTGAGTATTTGAAGAGCTCCAGCTCTGTTATCAGAAGAACCAGAAGAGGAACCAAGGAAGTCTTACTCTCTGTCTTGGATGGGCCATTAATGGCTGGACCTGAAACCAGGTCCCTGCTACCTTCTCTCAGGTGTGAGTAGACTACATAGGTTGGCCATACTCCCAGTCTGATTAAGAGAGTTATTTCCAGCAGTGCTTCTTTTGTCCTGGAGCCAGCTGAAGAGCTGGCACTTGTATTTTCCCCCAGGTGTTATTGGGCTCACCTTAGCTCCTCTTCCTTCCTTTCCTCATGGGGACCTGACCTTTCTTGAATCTATTGTCCTTTGAGAGAGCATGATAAACTTCAGATTCCAACATTAAAGTTCAAGAAAAGAGAAGCAAATTCAAGGCTAGAGGAAGCAGTATTGTGTAGAATAAAGCATTAAATTTGAAGTTGGAGTTATGTAAACTTAATACCAGCACTAGGTCTCTCAGGTTTATGATGCTTAACAATTTTAAAGTTTACTTAAAAATCAGGATGAACACCATATACACATCACATCACATTAGCTGCATCTATTTTATAAAGATAAAATTTCAAATATATATGTAAAGTTTACTATTAAAATATTTCTGTAAGGATACATAAGAAATTGATAATAGTTGCTTCTGGGCAAGGAAATGGGGTGGAGGGGTCACCCTTGAGAGGGAAATTTACTTTTGGTTGTATATAATTCTTAACTGATTCGATGTTTTACTTAAAACATTTTTCGGCTGGATCTATTTTATAAAGATAAAATTTCAAATATATATGTAAAGTTTACTATTAAAATATTTCTGTAAGAATACATAAGAAATTGATAATAGTTGCTTCTGGGCAAGGATAGTTGCTTCTGGGCAAGGAAATGGGGTGGAGAGGTCACCCTTGAGAGGGAAATTTACTTTTGATTGTATATAATTCTTAACTGATTGGATGTTTTACTTAAAACATTTTTCAGCTTGGCTAGTGTGGCTCAGTGGATGAGTGTCAGGAGCTCATGGCTAGATTTCTGGTTGGGGCACATGCCTGGATTGCAGGCTGGATCCCCAGCAAGAGGC